TGTAATTTGGAGATGTCCCTGACTGTAGACTTTACCAGTGCAATATGTCTACTGATCTGACTGCTGGTATCAAGTGTATTGACTGTGGATCTAAGTAAGATGAAGTCATTCACAGTCTCAATCTTTTCTCCATCTATCATGATGTTACCTATTGGCCCAGTGGCAAGGGTTTTTGTTTTCTTGATATAAACATGCAATCTATATTGAAGGCTGGAGTGTTTAACCTTCTGCAGCAAGTACTTCAAGTCCTCTCCACTTTCAGCAGGCAAGTTGCATCATCCACATAAGGTAGGTTATTGATGAGTCTTCCTCCAATCCTGATACTACATTCTTTTCACTCTCTTGCTATATTGCTAAGAGTTGGACAATGAATAAGGATGACCAAAGAAAAAATTGACACCTTTGGACTGTGGTGTTGGAGGAGAGTATTGAAAGAGAAGAGACCCTCATCCAGGTGGGTTGACACAGTGACTGCTGCAATGGGCTTGAGTATGTCAGAAATGATGAAGATGGCACAGGACAGGACAGGGTTCAGATCTCTTGTCGAGAGGGTTGCTATGAGTCATACTCAACTTGATGGCACCTAAAAATAATAACAATTGGTCCAGTGGTGAGGATTTCTATTTATTTTTTTAATTAAATTTTATTAGTTTTAATGAACATTTACAGAGATTTTGGGTTTCTGAGGATTTTTATTTTATGTGCAAAAAGAAGTGCATCAGGATTGTATCCTTTCTCCATACCTATTCAATCTGTATGCAGAGCAAACCATTTGAAAAACTGAGCATGAGGATTGGAAGAAGGCTCATCAACAACCTGTGTTTTGCATATGGCACAACCTTGGTTGTGAAAAGTGAAGAAGACTTTGGGGGTTTTGCCCTGACTCAAACCATGGTATTTTAAAAAAAATATTACTTTTTATCCTGCATCAGAGAGTTGGACAATGACCAAGGAGGATAGAAGGAGAATTGATGCCTTTGAGCTGTAGTGCTGGAGAAGAGTATTGAGAGTACCATGGTCTGCTAGGAAAACAAACAGATTCATCCTGGAAAGGGTTAAACCAGGTGGCTCCTTGGAGGCAAGGATTCTGAGGCTCCATCTAACATACTTTGGACATGTTGTGAGGAGAGACCGGTCCTTGGAGAAGGACATCATGCTTGGGAGGTTGGTGGCGCAGGATAGGAAGGCCCTCTATGAGGTAGATTGATTCAGTGACTGGGATAATCGGGATGGGAGTGTCAGAGACAGTGTGATTGGCACAGGACAGTGCAGAGTTTAGGGCTGTTGTACATAGGGTCGCTATGAGTCGCAAGCGACTCAACGGCACATAACAACAACATCCTGCTTTACATACAAAAGTTGTAAAAACTGTGTTTTGTTTATATACATTGAGTTTTGTCTACATACATTGTGTTTCATGCAAAAAGTAAAGAGGACTTGAAGCACTTGCTGCAGAAGATCAAAGACTACCCAGCTTTCAATATGGATGTTAACGGCCAGCAGAGTTTAAGGCAATTGCAGGACATTGGGAGGGGTTGATGAGTGAATTCCCAAAGTGAGCCTTTGTTCTGACTTTGATCTTGATTATGGGATCATAATCGCTCCTCTCCAGGCCTTCCTTTTGTTCTTGGATTTCTGAGGCTGCTCACACTCGTTTTAGGATTCAGTGAATGAGTGGGTAGCATATGTGATTCTCATGGGACCCCAGTCAGAGTTTGACTATGGTGTGAGCATTTGTCTACTTTCACCTCCCAAGTTCCTAGCTTGGGCTGTCCACTCCACACCTTCACCTGGGGTCCCCCGTGCACCCTGTGCTCGATAAGTTAACACTGGATTCATCATCTTCTCAATGAACTGGCTTTTCCAGAGAAGTTCTCAGAGAAGGCAGTACATCCACCAGGTTCCCAGGCCAGAACCCTGAATGGTTTTCACTCTTCCTTCCTTGTTCTCCTCCCTCACTTTTGTTTCTTGGGGTTCCTCCTAAACCCATCTCATCCTTTCCTTCCCTCCCACCACTATACTTGTGCAGGTCCTTCAATAGGGTGGGCAGAGTGGGGTCAGCTGGGGGAGAAAGAAAGCCCTGCGGAGTTGATGTGACACAGGAGATCCAAGGAAAGGGTGGAGAAGGAGACTAGCACCTCCCTGCCTCAAGGCTGACAGCATGTGCAGGTCACCTACCTGGGACACACTAGGGGAAGAAAGACAGCTGGGAGGCTGGAAGAGTGAGCACCCTCATTCCTGCACCATGCCCCTCCCTCAAGGATGCAACACTGATACAGAGCCCTTCCAACCTTTTTGCCTGGAGCATCTGCTGTAGTTTTCTAAGCTCCACCTTTCACCAAGCCCCACCTCATTCCAGGCACAGTCAGGTGGTGGGGTGTCTTGAGGGGTTCATGAGCCGGAAGATGTGCCATCTCTGGTCTGAATAGTAGCTCAGGCTGGGGGAAGGGTCATCTCATCCTCTCCTCTCCATTCATCTACTTCCAACTCTGTCTGCATCTTCTAGACTTTTGTAGCAACCTCTCAACCAGTCTCCTTGCCTCTACTCTGGCTCCCTCCACTTCTAACAGCCAGGAAGAGATTCTCAAAACCCAAACTGCTCACTTCATTGCTTAAAACTTTTAGATGACTTTCCACCACCCCAGAATGGTCTTCAAACACTTCATCACATACCAGGAGCTTCATTATCTGGTCCCATTGCCCCCACCTCCTCAGATCCCAAACTAACTCATCTCTTCTCCCTGTCCCCTGAAACGCTCCAAGTTTTCTTTTGCCTGGCATGTTTTACCCTTCTCAAGCTCCTTCAGATCTTGGCATAGAATATCTTCCTTCAGGAGGATACACATTACATTTGGTGCTTCTTAGATGTATACCAAAGAGCTCTGTGGCATACTGGTTAAAATACTAGTCTGTTAAGCTCATGGTTGGCAGTTGAAACCCACCAGCCACTCTATGAGAGAAAAATGAGGCAGTTTGCTTCAGTTGAGATTCATGGGTTTGGTTTGCTATGAATGAGATTCAACCAGGATGGTAGTGGGTTTGGTTTGGGGTTTGACTGAAATCTCATAAAATCTGTGTTTCAGCTATCGTATAGCCCTTTTTATTCTTATTGTGGTTTTATTTCTCCCCCCTATTCCTACTAGAAGGCACACAGTTAGAATCCACCAGCTGCTCGTGGGAGGATTGGCATCTCCTCCTGTACAATTTACTGCCTCTGCAAACTCACTTCAGGGTCAGCTATGGGTCAGTTCTGATTTGACAGCACACAGTAACAACAACATTCCCACATGAGTGAGCTCTGATGGTGTAGTCCATAGGAGTGTGCTGCTAATCCAAAGATGACACTTCTCTGGTGGTTCAAATCTGCCAGAAGCTCCACAGGAGAAAGATAGGCAATCTCCAGGGTGATTTACAGCCTTTGAAAATTCACTGGAGGGTCAGCTAGAAATCAGTTCTGACTTGACAGCAATGAGATGTTGAGGGCGATGGTGATCTCTATTTGAAGAAACTCTGATGATCCTTGAAACTCTAGTGGCTTATGGTAAGAAATTGTGCTGCCTGCTCAAAGGTACGTGATTTGAACACGAATACTGCATGGTTTAAAATCAAGATAGGTAGGGAGCTCTGGTAACCTAGCGGCAAGAAGCTGTGCTGAAATCCTGAAGACTTGAGTTTGAATCCACCAGATGCTCTGCTGGAGAAGGAGGGGCAATCTTCTCCTGTGCCAGTCGTATCTGACTAGACAATACACAACAAGGAGAAAAAAAGAAAAATAAGAAAACTAAAAAAAATAAAAAAAATAAAATAAAAAAAAACCCAACCAAAATCAAGCTAGGTGTGTGTCAGGACAGTATCCTTTCTTCATACCTGGTCAATCTGTATGCTAAACAAATCATTTGAAAAGCCAGACTTATTGAGAAGAATGTGGTCTCAGGCTTAGACAATCATACTTGCTGAAAATGAGAAGGATTTGAAGCACTTGCTGCAGAAGATCAGACTACAACCTTCAATATCGATTACATCTGAACGTCAAGAAAATACCCTTACCACTGGGCCAATAGGCAATATTATGATAGATGGAGAAAAGATTGACATTGTCAATGATTTCATCTTACTTGGATCCGCAATCAATACCCTTGATATCAGCAGTCAAGAAAGCAAATGATGTGTTATACTGGGAAAAATCTGCTGTTAGAGATCTCTCCAAAGTGCTGAAGAGCAAGGAAATCTGTTCAAAGACTAAGGTGCACCTGATTCAAACCACAGTCATTTGATTACTTATGCATCTGAAAATTGACTATGACTAAGGCTAACAGAAGAATTGAAGTATTTGAGTGGCGGTGTTAGAGAAGAGTCTTGAATATCCCATGGACTGCCAAAAGAACAAACATATCTTGGAGACGGTGAGACAAGGGTCTTTGAGGGAAGGATGGTGAAGTCTTGTCTCACATTCTTTGAGCATGTTGTTAGCAGAAGCCGGTCCTTGGAGAAGGACATTATACTTGGAAAGGTTGAGAATCAGCTTAGAAGAAAAAGACCCTTAACAAGGTGAATTGGCACAGTGACTGTTATAATGGGCTCAAGTATATTTGAGATGGTGAGGGTAGAATAAAATAGGGTCAATTTCAGATCTGTTGTTCATGGGGTCACTGAGTCCTAGGGGGTCTCAAATGCACATAACATCTGGTTATAACCAAAAGAGAGCGCCTGTCCAGTGGTTTGACTGCACCAGCAACTCCGTGGGGAAAAGATGAGCAGTCTCTTTCCGAAGGACCACTACGCGTGCGAACTAACTGGATGAACAAACAGTGAGTTTTGAATATTTTTTGATGCAAGTTTTTCCTGAATCGCAACCCAGCCCATGTGAAACGATACACGTGCATCCTTTCCAGCTACAGATGAAGAGTCATATCAAAGGACCCCGCTGGATAAATCCAGTGTGTGCTCCACCTTCCTTACGTGTCCTTCACACGCCTGGGGCCCACCTTGGGGTGCCGAGGTCAATGACGCGGCCGGTTTAAGGCAGGCAGGGGGCGGGCCCATGAGGGCTCCTCCTCAGCGGTGAGGTCAGCGCGCATGGTGCGTGTGACGCTCTGGTTGCCGCAGAGACGCCCCGCCCCCGCGCGGCGCTGCGGAACCGGAGCTCCGGGCGGCGTCGGCAGCGCGCGAGGCGGCGAGGCCGGGGTGGCGTTAGCCGGCGCGGCGACTGCAGCGAGAGCTACGGGGACGGAGCGGACCACGGCGAAGGCGCACAGGCAGTCGGGCCGGGCTGGGCCGCGGGGAGAGCGACCGCCGGAAAGCGGGCGGGAGGCCAGGCGGGCAGCAGGCAGCAGCCGAGCCGCGAAGCGACATGGTGCTGCTCAAGGAGTAGTGAGTGTCCGGGCCGCCGTGCGAGAGCGAGGAGGAGGGGAGCGGCGGCCCGGCCGAGGGGGCTGCCGGCAGGCCCGCGGGGATGCAGGAGGGACGGGGACCCGAAGGCATGGAAGGCGCTGGATGGGCTGTTGGGCGGCTCAGCAGAGGCCAGCGGAACAGCAAGAGCCGAGGGGAGACCGAGGGGATGGAGCCCCACAGGCCTGCGGAGATGCCATGGGGACAGTGAGAACCAGTCAAGACCCGAGGTAGGGTCAAGGGGACATTGAGAGAGCTAGACAGATCCTGAGGAGGGCCTGAGAGGACAGTGAAGGCCGGCCAGAGCCCGAGGAGGAGGCGAGGGAGCCGTGAGAGCTGGACAGGACCTGCGGGAGAGGCTGGAGCATGGAGGGCCAGGGTGGGATGTGAGTGGTCCTACAGGGGGTGCTAAGGGCTGATGCAGGGGCCAGGCAGGAGCTGCAGGAGGGGCTGAGGGGGATGCATGGATGCCCATCAGTGGGAGGCCTTGGCTGAGGGGTTGGAGTGCTGGGGAGGGGTCCCTATAAGGTTGAGATGTGACAGCTGTAGGGAATGGAGTTGAGATGATGGGAATGGTGTGGAATGCTTCCTAGGGTATTTGGAAAAGGATTCTAATAATTGGACAGAGAAAAATGCCTTGGGTGCAGGTCCAAGTTTGAGTGACAGGGGAAGGTTCCAAGGAGATGGAGCAGAGGGCACTGAGGAGTGCTCATGGGAGAGGTTCAGAAGAGAAGGCATTTGGGGAGGGAAGCGTGGGATAATGGGGAGGTCCTTGGGAACCCTTGAGAAGCCCAGATAATGGGCAGTGACTGAAGTGACATGAGGGAGTGATGATGATGGAGAGGGCTAGGATGCTGCCAGAATAGATGACAGTCCTGAAAGAGAGTGTGTTTGTGAATGAACAGAAGTAATACTGGAGTGGAACCAGGGGCAGTCTGTCTCGAGGGGATTCTCTGTCTTGGTTATAAGAGAAGGGGGAATTACTTTGAGCATTCGAGGAGGTTTCCACGAAGCCATGGCGAGAGGAAAACCAGGACAGGGTGAGAGAGTTCTTGGGGGTGAGAAACTGGGGGCTCCCGGTGGGAGTTGTAGGGTGCTAAGTTTGTTTATAGAATCCACGGAATTGGGGAGCAGGTGGGGATTTTAGAGTTTTGAATACTAAAATCAAGAGTTGACCCATCCCTTAAGCTCCAGGGTGGGAGTAAGCATTGCAAAGGGGAAGGAGTCAAAGGGTGTGTAGAGAGTTATGGTGAAACTCTGCAACCCTGGAGGGAGGCTGAGTGGTCAGCGTTGGAGTGGGATGTCCAAGTAGACAGTACTGGTGAAACTTCGTTTTTGGACACGGAGGTGTGCAGAAGGCTGTTTGCATTTTGTCAGGAAAAACCCTTTACCCTGTTCCCCATCAGGCTTGCTCCTTGCATGTGTAGCTCACAAGAGGAGCAGACACCTCACCCGAAGAACATTATTTTGAGGCTCCTTCAAGAAATGTCTCCTTTTCTTGACATCCAGCTCCAAGCAGAGCTTAAGAACGTTATGTGGTGAGGAGGAGAATATAGTACACTTTGAGTTTTAATCTTGAATTTCCAGACTGACAGGCCTTTTCTCATTCTTCTGACCTTTTTATCCTAGTCCCAGATACATTCTTGAATCTGTAGAACACTAGTTTTGGAAAGGAGATCAGTCAGGGAAAGGAAGGGCCCTTGTTGAGAAGGGATCTGAGTGAGTCTTAATGAGAAGTACTACTCCCTTCCCACTCTTTGTTCTCCTCATGAAGCCTGCCAGGCAAGGTCCAAAGGGCTGGAGATGCAGAGCCTGCCTGGCATCTGAGTTTCCTTCCTGACTTGTGCTCTGTGTACACTGGGGCAAGTGTGTGCATCTCTGGACGGGGAGGGGGGGCACCTGAGACGCCTGGCTGTGGCTGCAGTGCTGCTGCTGCAGCTCTGGGAAGGGTGTGAGTGAAGGTCACATCGAAGTGAGCACAGCTCTGAGTCCTGGCCCAGCAGGGCATCTGTGGCCTAGTGCTTTGGAATCGTATCCTCTTGCTGCTGAGGTGGTTTTGCCTCTTAGCAGCAAGGGAGAAACATCTGGGTTGCCGCTGTAAAGTAACCACCTCAGAGCATCCTCTGGGAATTTTTCAGTGCTGGTCTCTTTTCCAGGGGAGATTTGGTGCCCACCCAGTGTCTGAAGGCTGCCCCTGTTGGTTTTTTTGACCCTTCCTCTCACAGGATTTTCCTTGATTTGATTTCTGCATATTCTTGGATGTAATTTGTACTGTTCTTAAAGATAAAAGGCTCATTGTTTTCTAGGAAGTTTCTTCTGAGGGTGCAGAAATTCCAGCCTCCAAGTTGGAAGTATTTTTCTGCTTGCTATATTGGGGGAGAACAGTGTCCTCTAAATTGGAAGATTTGTGTTATTTAACTGGATGGAGGGGAGTTACTAGACAGACAGTAAAGACTTGGATATCATTTTTTCCCTTCTACTTCTCTACTTAATGGTTTTCTTTAGTGTGATGTGTTGTTTGTTTTTCCAGATCCCTCTTTATGCTTGTTGCCTGAAAGGAGTTGGGGCGGGGGGTTGCATTTTAGAAGTAGAAAATAGTGAGCTGACTAATTTACCAGCCTGGAGCAAGGGAGCCAGATTGGCAGACTCACTGCATAGGAAGGAGGGCATAGCAGCTCATGCTTCACTAAGCACAGAGGAGGGCCCAGTGGGTTCCAACCGGGGTCTGGGAACTGGCTTGACTTGATGGGTACACCAAGGGTTTTTGTCTCGGCTCTCTGACTTCACAGCTTTGATCTGGGGGTTAGCTGTTGCTCAGTGTTCCAAGCACAGTCCACCCAGAGAAGTGCCATAATCTTAATGCCTCTGTGGAGTTCTTCGTTGCAGGAACTTGGCTAATATGACTTCTCTATCAGCGTATGGCTGGTATACCTTCCTCAAAGGGTGATCATTAAGAAGAACAAAAATTTGAAAGTGATCCACTAGCATGCCTTTGGACAGCTTCTGGAAGTCAGAACACAAGTTAGGTGTCCTCTTTTGGTGGTTTTGTGTATTTCATACTGTCATATTCTGCTCCAGACCAGAGTTGATTGATGCATGCTTTCGGGGGGATTAAGCCTCCAAGAAGCTTGCCTCCTTTCGAGCTTTTACCTTAAGAGTTTATTGGAAAGTTTACTTCAAGGAAGTATAAATCTCAGGGCCTGATTCTTTGAGTGTGAATCCTCATCTTGGTTTCAGAGTTTCCAGGGGTGGGTTTTCCTGTGTTAAACCCTGTGTTTTACAGAACTCACTGGCAAGTCTTGTTGTAGAAAACAGAAGTGGGGGAGAGTTACTAAGAAGGCAGTTCCAGATGTGAGTCAGAGACCTGGGCAGGAGCTGGTGGGGCACACATTTGCACAGAGTAACAGGGCTCAAAGCAGGCGGCTAGGAAGGCCAGAGGGTCCTAGCTGCAGGATTTTTTGACAGTGAGGATATGGTGTCATGTGTAACAAAATGATACTTTTCTAAGATGATGCTTTTATGAGCCTTGAGCAGATTTCAGAGCCTGAAGTTGATACTCTTTTCCCTCTCTTACAGTCGAGTCATCCTGCCTGTGTCTGTAGATGAGGTAAGTCCCTTTTCTTTCATGTCCATGGTTGTGTAAAATTGTTTATGACCTTTTGCTAACTTGGGCTCTGAGTGGCCCACACTTTTGCAGGTCTTTTCATATAGTGTTCCTGTTTGTTTCAAAGCAGAGATGACCTGTGGTTGATGTGAATCTTCCTGGTACTATTTTCATTTGAAAGAAGTCACTTACTTTGTATTCCTAGGCAGTTGTGTGCAGTCTGCCCCAGGCTGTTGATAAGTTGGGTGACCAGAGAGAGACAAAACGAACTCTTTTTACTTGCTGAGATAGTGCCTGTTTAGGACATGCTATTGATGGTGTTAAGGGTGTGCATTTTTGGGACCTCCGTGACTCACCCAGGAAGTGTACATGGCTCTCTCTGGTTGGGCAGCAAACCAGCAGGCCACGGCATCTGCAGGAGCCTCCCTAGACACTGCAGGTGACACAGACTGCTAGGAAGACCAAGACAGAGGATCTTCCTGTTCCAGAGGGTAGGGTTTGCTTTGCCTTCCACCCTTTAAGGCCCCGAGGTCTGAAAACCTGTGTAGGATGTGTCACGAGAAGGTTCAGAGGCCATGCTGACTCAGAAGTGGTTTCTTGGATGTCAGAAACCTGTTGTAGCCTCCTGTTCTGCCTTATCTCTGAACTTTGTTCATTCTATTCAACTGCTCTTTGCTTCCTTCTGAGCCTGCAGGTCTCTGCAAAAGGAGGGCATCTTGTCCGGCTTGAGACTGGGTGTAGTTTGTCAACCGGTTCAGTGTCCTCCATCACTGGGCTTCATTTCCCTTTTCTGCAGTGTCAGCATGAAGCTCCTGTGATAATTTCCACTCTGTTCCAAATATGAAATGGACCTTTAAAAAATGGCTATCCGACCAACAAAACCTGCAGCACTCTTCAGCTAAGACAATTTCCAAGCTTTTTTTTTTTTGAGACTCCAAGAAGGTTGGCAGGCCCTTAATTCTTCGAGGATTGTCTCAGGTGGTGGACTGCACATCTCATCAGAGCTGGAGACTTGAGAGGGGGACTTGGACATTACCTGAGTGTCCTGGGGAAAGAACATGGGATGGCTGGGGGAGAGAAAGAGACTGGCTAGACTGCTTCCTGGAGGCAACTGAGAGGTGTCTAGAATCCAGGAAGTAGATACTTGACCTGACAGATGTTGCTTTGGGCTGGACCCTGTTAACCCACAGCTCATGGGCTTCAGTGACTTCTCTGCTGTACTGGATGGTCTTGCCTCCCATTTAGCAATGATATCCTACTACAGTGTAGTGGTCAGAGGGTGAAATGGATACTTGCTTTTATCTTTCTTCAGGAGTTTCTCTGTGGCATGAGGGGTGAGAATATCTCAAAAGGGCTGTCCTTGGAGCACCTCTTGTTTACTCTATAGTAAGACTAGAAGGGCTTGTCTTGGAGCCCAGGAGGGAGGGAAAAGGGAACTCTTGCTTTGAGAGCATCCAAAATGGACTAGTTTTAGTTTGTGATCTCCCCATTCCCCTTCTGCAACTTTGACGAAGTGCTATGGTGGGGTCATCAAGTCCTCAAGTCTAAATAGAAATTTAGAGAGTAAATGCTAAGTAGGAT